TAAGAAGAACATATGATGACAATAGATGATGACAAACACTTTTGTTATTATTATTGTTATTTTTACGCGATATCTTAATTTATAATTATATAACCGACATTGCGACGTCGATGAGTTATAAATATTAATGCGAGGTGATGTGGAATAGTTTACAGTGATTAATCGCGACGTAGTCATCTAAGATCGACAATTCGCGGCTTATAAAATGTACTCGGCGCAGCGTTGAATATTTGTTAAACAAACGATGTGCATAATCGATTGTTTTGGTAAAACGATGACACATCAGGAACATCTACGTTTTGATAAGCAGGGCATCATGTAAGAGAAGCTCATTTTTTTTCTTTTTCGAAACGCAACGTAGAAAGTGACCAATGGACTTGGTTGTTTTATTCTTGCGAAAGTGATAAAGATGTGCGGAGGACAATTCTCTCGACTTTCACATAGTTACGTAATTATCTATACGCTACGAATATCGATGTACATTATTCGTAAAGATTAAACGGAATAGTCATGCAGAGATCAAAGAGTATGACTTTGCCAATATTCGGTTCCGCGATTCTCGAAGTGGCATTCAAACTTGGACGCTTCTATTCTCGTAGCAATCAAATCGAAAGATTTTCATTGTGCGAATCGTGTGCATGAGAGCACAATATAGTTTTACGCAAGATAACTGACATTAATGAGGGAGATGCCATTTGTCAAGTTTGCTTTTTTATTTTCTCGAATGGACGTGTGAGCAATAATGAATCTAAAATGCTCGTATCGAAGGGATAACTTTTATTTTATTTTTAGATTATTAATAGTAATCTTATGAAGAAATAGTTATTAAATATTTGAAAGATTTGATTGTATAAGTGTGTTTATTGTAATATTTTTAAATGTTATTCTATTTATAGATACTCTTGTAAATCTTATTTGAGAAATTCTCTAATTAATGTAGTTTATTTAATGTAGTTAATTACGTATAACAAAAATATTTAATTTTATATCATATTTTCTAATTATAAAAATTTTCGTAATCAAATGTTGAACTACATGTAGCTTAATCGTTGGCATCCTCCACCTATAATCTTATAGTCGTTTCGCGGCACGCAATTCATCGTCAAAATCTCAATGTTGTTTTTTCATTAGCATTGCAATTATGCACACTTTCCAAAGTTTGTAATATGCGCACGCAAGCATTATCAACATTTTCCGAGTTTTCTAGACTTTCTTACAGTTACGCATTCTAAACGAGTGATTTTGTAATACAATTTTCATATATTGTATTTCCATACTTACAGCATAAAGTTATTATAAATTTTATAATTTGAAAAGTACTATTATAAAATTACTATAATTTTATGCTGTATTAATAAAGAAGAAAGTCATAAGCAGATATTCATAATCGATTCTTATATTTACTATCGTCTTAAGTACAGTTTTAATTAGGTTCGGTTTCATTAATGTACGTAAGATTAACTTTAATCTAGGTTCTAATTCTAAGAATTAAAAAAAAAGATAAACAGTAAATTAAACCGAGATTAAAGTTAATCTTACGTTAGTGGAGCAAGGCTTTGAGATAAACCAACTACTGAATTATAACTGAGAATCATATCTCAGAACTAGCATCTTAAGACGTTACTTAAAACAATCTTGAAGAACGAACTATGAATATTTCGGCTTTACAATTAGTCTTATTTAAATTGATGCACAATTGCATTTAAAAAATAGATACAATATAATATCGAAATTTATTAATAAACACGTTATTGTACGTAGTTCATTTTAGATAAATTATAAATTGTCTAAAGTGGATTTTAGTTGTAATTAAACCGACATTTATCCTCGCGATCATCGTCGAAATAACGCGCGAATTTGCATATCTTATAGTCTATTGTTCTGAATTTAGGACACGTAGTCGTTACATACAAAAGCGATCATATCAGCTTCTATTATATGTGCTTTTATCACGCATGCAAATTCATGCAACTTCGCGAATGTCTACTAATAAAAATGAAATCTGTAAAAAGAAGCATAAGTCATATTGATCTATTTCCATTTAATAGTTTCCTTCACGCCTCGAACAATTAAATACTTTTCTTATCAATGATTTTCTGGAATTTTCTGAGAAGACTTTTTTTTTTATCTGTGAATCAACAATTGACTGCTATAAATCTTGACGATCATAAATCATAATTCATTATCTTTGGAAACGTGAGACACGTGCTGAGAATCGCATGTATATTTACTAACACAGATAGATAGCTAGAAAGAGCATTTATGTCATTCTAGAGTCTTCTAAGAACATACATACAGTGAATAATAATGAAAACAAAAATAATATAAAAATAAGTACACAGAAAATAAAAAATGGTACATAAATAAAACAAGATGACAAAAAATAAGAATTATTATTAATAAATAATATGTTAAAGAAAAGAAATACATAAAAATAAAAAAATACATAGAGAGATATAAGAGGATAATATCGTAGATATAATGTAAGGATAATAAAAATATTTTATCAATCTACACATATATTATCAAATGCGATCTATGTATATGTATGAGAAAACTGATTTCAAGTGCAAAGAATTCGCGGAAAGAACGATTTTGCTGAAATATCAAAAAGTTTAGCTAGATACATATCTAATAATAATAATTTTGTCGGACTATCAAAATAATTATGTAGAACGCTCAAGCTAATTATTAGAATGTCAAAACTGTTTGCAGCATTCCTCACCATGCTTAAATTTCTTATATAATTATTTTGAATAGTCCAACAAAATTACACAATATTTTCAGATTTGCATCCAGCTAGATTATTACATATTTCAGTAGAATTGTTCTTTCTGTGGGCGATTTCTGGCAGTACAACTGCAGTGATGAAATAGCGGAGCTCCAAGAATAGAGAAATCGCTCGATCTCAATAAGTCAAGAATATCGGAGGTCCAACTGTATCTCGTGACTCATAACGTACGCATGTTACAAGACCGCCCGTGTCGATGAGACGCGTTGTCTCAAAGGGAAATTGCCACTAACGGATGCGTGGAATCAAACAGGACATCGTACGGGGCATTCTCCGCGAGACGGGAGCATACCGACGCGCGTGCTTATTAATAGCCGCCGCTTAACTCGATGGTTAACTTCGATGGCGAAAGATACGATCCATCTCGCGCGAGTCACGATCGGTAACGGAACCGGTTCGGAGTCCCTTGTGTGACTCGTACTAGGCGTTATGCGCGAGGAAGTGAAAGCAACGCTCGCGGGACAATACGTGGCCGTGGACTATCCTGTCGCAATGTCGAACTCGATTGAGTCGCGACGAATGATATGGCGATAAAAAAGGAAGGATACTTCGATTTGCGTAATCTGCTTAGATGCCTAGATCCTCTCTTGATTGATTCGACCCCTTTATATGCAGTTCTGCAGAAGAGAATCGTATGTAATATTTCCTTCGCAATTTACGCAGAAAGGTATTTGACGTATGAAATCACATTATAAAATCATGACAGATCGCGTGAGGGCGATTAAAATTATATTATATTATAGATTACCAATTTAATTTAATGATATTACTACTCTAGTTCTGTTAGGATTGCGTTTTAAGATTGAAAATTAAATTCGGTGCTCAGTTTGCAGGATTGAATGTGAATATAAATTCACATTGAATTGTATAAATTCACATTGAATTATATAATTATAAGTATTGAATGAAACTATAACTTGACTGTTTAGGGCTTTTCCTATTTATTGTGTATTCACATATCTATTGTGTTATGGTTTTAAAGATACTTGGTTTAATATTGTTTCTATTACAGATAATCATAGCATTTTGTCTTAGTAAGAGAATACAATATAAAGAATTTCAGAAAATTATGAGATTGTTAGAAATGTTGAGATTGTAAGAAATGTGATTGAAAGTTATTACCATTGTTGCATTAGCAAATCCTATATACAGGATGTCTTACAGATCGCGACATTAATTTTAACGACATATTCCTGAGCTGAAATTAAAACGATAATTCTAAGATGAAAATGAGATGTAACACTTTGGAAAGCGTTTACAATATACATATATGAATCCAAAGATCATACATGTATATTATTTATAATAGATAATGCATTTACAATAGATACTCTAAAGTGTATAATCAACTGTACACTAGAAAGATATGAATAGAGAATGTCACATAGCATTCAAAGCATGTAATTGCATAGCAGTCTGTGAACTTGTCGTGACTTAGCATTGTACGAAGCAATCTTTCTAAGGAGTCATCAAGTCCTCCCGATAAGACTTGAATGAGTATTGACATGCTTAAAAAAGTAACGACGTACGCTTAATTGATTTAGAAACGTCAGTAAATCATCAGGAATATGTCATCACCAGACTTGCGCGATGTAAAAATTGATTATTAATATTCAGAACGTGTTCCATAGCTTTCAAAGCAAAGAAAATCGAACGTGAGTTAGAATATTTGTGCAGTCCGCAAATATATCTTGACAAGAATTACTGTTTTACGTTCCTAGTTTTATTGAACACATCGATGATCACTGGACGACTGGGTCAACTCTTAAGATATTAATTTTAATACTGGTTTTAGAGAGAGATAAACAGTCAACTTTTCAATTACAGAATTTTGTTCTGGTCTGTTGAATAGCATATATAAATTTATAACTGCATAACATAATTTTTCTTTTCTAGTAATTATAAACCAAAAGGAGAAAATTTAGCAATTTTCGATAACAATTATTTAATTTTGTTTGTGAATGAAATCGAAATAATTGAACTAATTAAGTAGCATTTTGATATAAACAAATATGGTATAAGACAATACATAATTAAGGTGACAAATACTATAATATTAATATTGACGATTAAATTCCGATCTCGGAATTAATCATTCAGCAGCACAAACTATTATTTAAATGATTTCAAATTCATATCAATAGTCATCTCACAGTCATCGTATAGCAAGAGATTATATCTCTGATCTCTGATTGAAATTCTTTTTCAGAGGGTAAGGTCGAGGTATCGAGGGACGGCAAATATCTCAGCACTTTGCAACATGGTAAAGTATTGGGTGAACTTGCGATTCTTTACAATTGCAAGAGGACAGCAACGATCACTGCTGCGACTGATTGCCAATTATGGGCCATCGACCGGCAGTGCTTCCAAACCATTATGATGAGGACCGGTCTCTCGAGACAGGCTGAATACACGGACTTCTTAAAGAGGTAAATCAGTATGATACCTAAACTTTTCCGATGGACTTTCATCTAATGCTGTCAGATATACCCTTGCATAATTGAAGGGTTTTTTTTATCATGACAAATTTTGAGCTGATCATTGTTGTTTTAAACAAAATTCCGCAATAAAATTGTTTAGATTAAAAATTGATTTTTTTTTGTCTTTTTTAAAAATTGTTATATCTACATTTCTTGAATAGCGATTTGCTTTTTATTCTAATAACAATAACAATGTAGAATTCTGCCGTAAGTCTACAGCCTATATCCTCGATTTTAGTTTCTTTTAAGTAAATAAATTTCTTATCCTGATTTATTTATTTGATCATTATCGTCTTCAAATATACTCTGTGCCTCGATCAAGATCTCGTCATAAAATTGATTTTTCAAAAATTATGTCATTATATTTTAGCATATCTTATGTTCTCAGAATTGTGGAATAACGGATCGTTTTTTATTCCCATTGCCCTAGGAATATAAAGTTCCGCATTTGCAGATTATATCTGCAATTTCAACTTTTAAAATACGACGAATGCTAAATTTTGAACGACTTAATTTAAGATACGATAATGACTAAATTTGGACAATTATAAAACTGTATTTTATGAAAGTTACATTCTTTTTAATAAGAAAAGATAGCATCTTTTTCTTTTATTTCAACGTGCAAAACTCGATTAACCATGCAGATGTTATTTTAATGATCGGTAACGTAGTGCAGTCAATTTTTATATGATGTAACTGATGACATAATTATTATGAAGAATATTAGCAGTAATAATATTATATATACATATGTGTATAAAACACGAAAACAGATAGTAAAATACGAATGTTATCCAATGTTTTCTCAATAATTCAGTTTACAGCAAAACTATCGTGAATGATATTAATGAGGCACTATTAAACGATAAGTTCATGTAAATTTGTATATTTTTTGTATATCTATTAGGTGTTGGAATTAATTCGTAGCGTTTTACAAGTGATGGGAAGTACTTTTATTAATGTATTTTTTAATGCTCATGTGAAATAAATAACATTCTTTCATTAAAAAACGCTACGAATTAATTCCAACACCTAATAATAAATACGTTATGTAAATATTCTATTGTCAAGAAAATATTTTCTTACGTAATGTCTGCGAGTTGAGAATTACAGTCTTTTCGCAAGTTAAAAAAATTAAATGATGACCCTTGTGTAGTAACCTCTTATAAATATCTAATAAAAACTTGTAGAAATAATCTTACGTTATATACATTTGGAATTGACACATGATTTTACGTTTCAGCGTGCCAATTTTCAAAAACCTGCCCGAGGAAACTCTAATCAAAATTTCGGACATTTTAGAAGAGGTATGAGCTGATTTTCTTGACAAAACATACTTTCGTTGCTTTTAAATTATATAATTGATAATTAATTTCATATTTACAGACGTTTTACAACAATGGGGATTATATAATAAGACAAGGAGCGAGGGGTGACACATTTTTCATCATCAGTAGAGGACAAGTACGCGTGACAATAAAACAGCCCGATACAACGGAAGAGAAATATATTAGAACCTTAAGAAAAGGCGATTTCTTCGGTGAAAAAGCTTTACAAGGGTGAGCATAATTAATATTATTATTTTCAATTTTTATTTAAGATTTTTGTTATTGTAAAAACATAAACATCCCACATCATTCTTGTTATTGTGAAAACATAAACATCCCATTTGTTTACTGTCTTGTTTAAATATATCTTATCTCAAGATTGTAATATTTTTAAATGAAATTTTCGCATTTTAATGAGATTAAGATATAAATATATACTAATTTATTTCACCGTTATAGAGATGATCTCAGAACTGCTAATATTATTGCTGACGATCCAGAAGGAGTGAACTGTTTGGTAATAGACCGCGAAACGTTTAATCAATTAATCTCATCCTTGGATGAAATCCGAACGCGATACAGGGACGAGTTGGTGGAACGTAGGAGGTATATATATCTTTTGTTAACTATACAGAAAGCTTTATAGATAAGTATTCTAGAATTGTGTGTGTGTGTGAGAAAGAGAGAGAGAGAGAGAGAGAGAGAGAGAGAGAGAGAGAGAGAGAGAGAAATAGCTGTAATCACTATTATTTGTAAATGTTAATTATGTTCCATGCTTAAAACATTAGGATGGGACAATAAACTGTACATTTCAAGTAAGTTCAGCAATAAAAACAAAAACAGATCAATTTACTGATAATATCGATAATTTTTTAGCATAAAATTATATCATTAATATTGTTAATAAATTGATTACAAAAAAATAGCGAAAATGTAGAAAAGCTTCTTTGCAATTTGCAAATATACATTTAACATAACAAAGAAATAATTTGTACCGATTAAGAATTATATTGAAATCTTTTACAATTTTTTTAGATTAAATGAGGAATTTCGGGATGTACGATTACAAGACCTTCGGACTATTGCGACTCTCGGCGTGGGTGGTTTCGGAAGAGTTGAATTAGTCCAAATTGCCGGAGATAGCACACGATCCTTTGCTCTGAAACAAATGAAGAAGGCGCAGATCGTCGAGACACGACAGCAACAGCACATTATGTCAGAAAAGAGGATCATGAGCGAAGCGGATTGTGATTTTGTAGTCAAACTTTTCAAAACCTTTAAAGATAGAAAATATCTTTATATGCTGATGGAAGCCTGTTTAGGTGGCGAGTTATGGACTGTTCTTAGGGACAAGGGATACTTTGATGATAGTACTACACGCTTTTATACTGCATGTGTTGTCGAAGCATTCGATTATTTGCACTCCAGAAATATCATCTATAGAGATCTTAAACCAGAAAACTTACTTTTGGATAATCAAGGGTAAGAATATATTCTGTATAATAATAAAATAATATATTATTTTGAGAAAATATTTAAAAAATTATGGACATATTAATGTATTAATTTTGGATTATAAAAAAAATCTTTCATAATAATACTTAACAAATTTTGATGGATTTAGAATATTTCGTCGTATTATTTTTTAGATATGTTAAACTTGTGGATTTTGGCTTTGCCAAACGGTTAGATAACGGAAGGAAAACGTGGACTTTTTGTGGTACACCAGAGTATGTGGCACCGGAAGTCATTCTAAATAAAGGTCACGACATAAGCGCTGATTATTGGTCCCTTGGTGTTCTCATGTTTGAGTTGCTTACGGGTACACCTCCTTTTACGGGTGCTGATCCGATGAAGACGTATAATATTATCTTAAAAGGAATCGATGCTATAGAATTTCCTAGGTCCATTACTCGTAACGCGATGGCACTCATCAAAAAGCTTTGCAGGTAAATTGTGATATACTTTTACATATTAGAATTTTTCTTCTTTTTTCATGATAAATATTTATAGCATAATACATATATTTGTTGACTAATATTAACAATACTAATTGTTCTCTTTCAGGGATAATCCAGCAGAACGTCTTGGATATCAAAGAGGTGGCATTAGTGAAATACAGAAGCATAAGTAAATATAATATATATTTATATATATATATATATTAGCATTTTAAAATAAAAAATCAGAACGATATATTCCTATGGATTCATTATAGATGGTTCGATGGCTTTAATTGGGAAGGTTTAAAAACGAGGACTTTGGAACCCCCAATACTACCACGAGTTCAAGGCGCTACAGACACTACGAATTTCGACGCTTATCCAGCTGATTCCGATCCACCGCCACCCGACGATATTTCCGGTTGGGATAACGATTTTTAATGCAAAAAATATAAAGGACTTCTATTTAATATTCGCGTTTTTAATCTAGCAGGAAATTGTAATAGAACATAACGCTCTCTCGATCATGCGAGATAATTGGCGACACCTGCATTTATTTATACTTTTCTCATATCACGTGATATACAGATTACAGTCGCATTTTATCATATTTTTACATTTTTTTGTCATATTTCGTAGTATAATCGGGATTTGTGAATGAGAAAAATTGCATTATGGTAAAATTAAAAATTTTTATGAATTTCGGATGATGTAAAAATTTAAAAAGAACTGCGAATTTTATATTTATGTCTGACGAGTTCTTCCCCAGTGTTATACACATGGTGGAAGGATTATATGGTGTGCTCAGTTTGCAAGCGTCTCTCTTTAAAATTAGCGTTCTCTGTTGCTTCTCTGCTCCTCGTTCCGCAAGGCCTACAACTGTGAAATATAGGGCGGTATTTATACTCAACAAACGAGAAAGAATTAAAATGGATTGAATTTTTTTTCTATCCGAATGCGTATTTTAAAAATAGCGAATACTTTTTTTTGGATTCAATTGGATGCAATTGGATTGAAAAACTGCATTTCCTATTCAAAAATTTTGAATTGAACAGTATTCAAAGTTATATGTGTTGTGTATTTGTGTGCACAGAAAAAGCTAATATTATTTTTAGATTGAAAGGCATAGAGATATGCTCTATGCAATAATGAATCCTATAAATGAATAAAAATGCATTCAGGATTGAAAAGCATTCATTTTAACATGAATCAATATTTCTGAAAATTTGAATCCATTTCAATTCATTTCAATCCATTCTCGTTTGCTGGGTATGAACCGATAAATACTGACCCGTTTCGGTCATGAAGGTGGTACTGAATCTTTTCTTGCACGAGGAAAGATTCAGTATCAATTTCATGACGTGAAATAGGTCGGTATTCATAGATTCTTACATTTAAGACTGTTTTAAGTCAATCTTAAGATGTTGTAAGTCAATTCGAGGACTGTATTAACATCTTAAGACATTATATTTAAGATGGTTTTAAAATAAAAACAGACTATGAATACCGCCATGTTTCGCGTTTCACGGTTGATAGACTTAGACACGACATGGAGCAAAAGGAGGCGTGTGGTTTGGCCAAACTGAGCACACCATATAATCCTTCCATGGTTATACATTATAATAGAATACATATGCAAGTGCCAAGTGCCATTATTACCTCGAAGAGGTACACTCATACATGTCATACTTGTGCTCAGAAACGCGGTCACACGCCAGAAACAGTCAGCTCAAGTCCAAGGGACCTCTTGCCATCCATTTAACTTGTCAAAATGTGCATATAGCTTGATCGATCAGATGTTAAATTTTTTATGGCAAGTTCATTGTTGTTTGATTACTTTATAGTTTATTGTAATAATTATATTTTAATTAATTATATGTGACTCTTGTAAATAATGAATTATAAATACCGTATAAATTTTTAATATGGGATATATATCATGCAATATGAAATTTTATTAATAACAACTGTAGGTGTGGCTACAAGAATCAACCAAACTCATTCTCTTTAGTGACTTGTATTGTGACATTTAGTGATTTTTTTTTCAATTGAAATTGTATATTGCAATTACACTTGTGGAAGGAATTATTTTCATGTTAAAAATAGTAGCAAAACGAGAATAAGATTTTGTAAATATATGACGCATATATTGTACATATATATAGATTTCTTTGTAATATTTGAGAACATAAACTTGGCTGGTTCTTAGCCAGACCTTCAATTGTACCGAATATGTATGTATAACACATTTGTTAATTTTTTCTTTATATGTAAAATTCTTGTATTTCGAAAGATGGCAAATGAAAAGTGAAAACATTAGGATAACATTTCAATATTTTAATAAAATCATGATACATTGTAATTTAATATCGCTATTTCTTTAGTATTTAGGTATAACAAATTGTTTTCGCGTGTTTTGTAAAACACGCGAAAAAGAACAGGATAAAAAGTGCAATTAAATAAAAGAATCTTTTCTTATGTTTTTAGAACAAAGAAAAAAAATATGTTTATATATAACTATTTGAGAAAAAAATAAAAACTCTAACTAATAACAACAAAAAATATACGACAACAATAAAATTAATGAATAAAAATAAAATAATATCAATCAAATATAAAACAATTGGCTCATTTATGGATAAAGGATATTTTCAAAATTCACAATTGTATTATTATGTATTATCCACACTTTAGGCTCGTACTTTTTTAGGCTCGTATTAACTTTGGATCGAATAGAAGATATTATTAAATTTCTTAACACTAAAAAAAAACATTTAATATCGGTTACACACACAAAAAATAAAATAATATATATTATCAATTATGAGAGTAGACAAATGATATTTTGATTTATATTTTTACATTGTGACCTATCACATAGTCACCAGAGAGAATCAAGAGAGAGCGGATAGTGTTCTCTTCTCTGATTGGTTTCGCCATTTTTCCGCTCACTTCCACAAATGTGTATAGTGCATGTACATATATATACATATACACACACATATACTAGTACAATACAATACTAGTGTGTACAGCATATGTTCCATTACGCTTCTATCATATCTCCTACTCATTCCAACAAATGGCGGCATCCGGCTGAATCCGCTCTACTCTCTCTTGATTCTCTCTAGTGATCACGAAATGACGAAGGACCACCGTGGCTGTGTTCGCTTTGGCGTTAACAACGCTTTAAGCATCTTTTCATCCTTGTTGTTTATTAAATATTAAACAAAGACAATTGATATTCACAGTGTCGTATATTGCGTTTCCTTCTGATCACGTGTCTTGCACGGTGACCAATCAATCAATTGCGCTGCAAGCGACATCAGGGCATCACGGAAGGTGATTGGTTGTCTCTTACCGTGTAATCACGTCCAGTGTCCACCGTCAGAGGGAAATCTTTTTCATTTCGCGTAGTTCATGCTGTAGGCAGAAGGCATACATGTTGTTCAGAGTACAGAATGTGCGGAGTTGGTCGGATCTTTAGTGGACCGCGTTCTTGAGGAATTGCGGAGAAATTGAATCGTGCAGAATCTTTGAAAGAGAGAATTTGTATGAAAAGAGACGCTTAAGTGACTTCAGTATCGAATAGTAGTTTCTCCAACGGAAAATGTAAGTGACATGGTTATTCAGTTTTGGCGCGTATCGCATGTTTTTTATGAACTCGTCCACGCCACATGAGATTGACGACCTACCATATCAGAATAACAAATCTCGTATAATTTAAAGCTTTTTTTCGCTGATTTTTCCCACGTTGACTGGTTTTTTAACGTTTTTTGTGCGCGCACAGTCGATGGTACATCTTGTTACATAGAGTTTCGATTTCGTTGATCTTTGATCGAGAATGTATCAAAATTACCCACGCTATCCACAACGTTCATTCATTTGCCCGTTTCTATCAATGTGGATTAATTTTAATCTTGATTTAACTTTATTTTATCTCTTTCCGGTTCTAAAAATTAAATGATAAAGAGTAAATTAAATCGAGATTAAAATTGTAAAATTCGAAATAGAAAATCAATGTAAGGAGGTAATGGTGATTTTAGCCGCAAAATAGCCGCGTAGAAAGGAAAAGAGATTAGTTCATATCTCTGTACTGCCCAAGGACGCTCTGATATTTTTCTCGTGTATTATCGCTTAAAAGAGATATTTATCATTATGTTTTAAAACGCATGTGTTTGTCAATCAACGCTTCAATTCGAAGAAATTCGTTGGCGCGAAATTCTTTCGTTTTTATATCAGTAATACTCGTACCAATGTAATTTACTTTTAATTTCGACTAACTTCATCTTTTCTAAGAATTAAAAAAAAAAGAAGGGAAGTAAGGCAGAAGCAAGTTCTGTAACTCGCCGGTTTATTTTTAATCGAAGTTTAACTTATTTTTCATCTCATTCCATTTTCAAGAACAAATTCAAGAATAACCAAGAATTTTGCAACTGGATATAAAGCCTGCTGGCATACAATGTCTGTTTTCCTACTGAATTGCTAGATTAGAATCTTACCATTATGGTGATGGTGGAAGGATAACATGAGGTTTGTTTTTATTCCTGCATTGGTTGCACTAGTTCAAAAAGCGTACACTAATAGCGTTTTTTACTGGCAGCACTGGTGCACACTCTGTGCACATTAAAACTGTTGTACATTAACCTAATCTGATTGTAAAAGAGAAATCTCAATTAATAAAGTATCCAATATATATTTTATCAAATACCATAATAAAATATATTAAAGATTTCATGATTTAATTCGTTTCTATATTTTTATTAAACGTATATCTTTATGTCGATTGTGCACAATGGCTTTAAAGCACTGAGTACGTACCAGCTCTGCCAGTTAAAAACGCTATAAAATGTTTTCTGTTCCCAAAATGGCGACGATTTTTTGTTCCAGTGCAACAGAACTCAGTGCACGAGTTCACTGTACTGGCTGCACTAAGTCAATGCAAGCAATACAAGCACTAGAGCTACGGTCCATTTAATGCTACAGATGCTTTGAAGCATTTTTTTATTGGTCAGTTAATAAAATTTTTTCTTCCGATTGATCAATCAAAAGTTTCGAAGCATCAAATAGACCGCATACTAATTCAACCACAGACCTTGTACAAATAGTGCGAGAATTGGTAATTATTTAGAAGACATCCTTCACCTTCAATTTCATTGAAATTATGCTCATTCGGCATGTTTTTGCATGAAACGAAAGAATCTAGCAGTGCTTAGTCTCGCGAACCGAGATTATTAAGCGTTGAAATTGGCAACTATTGAGGTTAGGAAATCTGTCAACTGCAAAATATCGCGATGAAAGCATGTGTTGCGATCACATTTTCATGCTTCATAGCTACATGTGCATAGGTTTTTTATTAACTTGCTTCTACAGCGATATATTAATTATATATTAATGTTTATTTATTAATATTCAAATTGTCTTCCTTTCATTGTTTAGGAGTTTACAACTTTTCACACACAGCAAGAAC